TAACTCATCAGCAATGCTTTGAAATTGCTTTAAAAAAAAAACTTTCAAAATGCCACTGATGTGTTAGCAATAATTAAAAACAAATGCAAAACTTCCTCTCCCTTTCCACGTGCTGGGGAGCAGCCAGAAAGCATCTCATTTCTCAAGACTGTTAAGAGGTTTCAGCAAAGGAACAGCCAGACAGATGCATGGATTCTGTCGCTGAGAGGGACCCCAAAAAGTGTAGGAGGCGGGTTAGTCCACAAAGGGATGTACATTATATGGTCATTGGAAAAAGAACTGAACCAGCCTGTCCCCAGCCCAAACCATACACACGAATGCTATCTTCATTTGCATTCTCCTGACTCAACAGGAATATGAAAACTTGTGACAACTTGAATACAATAAGGATATTTACATTCCAAAGTTCCATAAGTTTAGACTGTGAAGAAATAGAAACAAAAGGTAAAGCTCTTCCTGAATTGTATCACTTCAGGCAACCACAAGCTTCTGATCACAGACTGTCAACTGAAACTAGCAGGTGTGTGATGAGTAAACTGCAAATTTCCAATTTTGTCTGACTCTTGCTGTACCAAGATCCCATATCGATACTTCTACCTACAGTACATCTGTGAGACTTCTCGGCTTCTTGTCTCATTTTCCTTTTTCGTCTGTTTTCCCCCCAATAGTTCTATCCAGAAACTGTCCAAATCTGTGCATTATTGAAGCCTACTGAATCCTGCACAGGAAGCTACTGCATCCTGCACTGTTTTTAGACAAATCCAGGCAGGAATTGTAATAATCCTGTGCAATTTAAACTTGGGGGGGGGAGGAAACTTCTGACAAATCCTGGAAGATTTCCTGAATGATTTCTTTATTTTTTTTTTTTAAATCTCACATGGAAAAATCTTGCTGCAAGAAAACAAGAGTGTTTGTTTTTAGACAGAGGTTTGTTTTTAGACAAATCCAGGAATACAAAGTAGAAAGTAGTTTCAGTCTCCCCATAAAAAACACATCCTTAATAGGGGAAAACACCCTATTAGGGAGAATGGATCAAATCTAGCCTTCTTTGAGGTAGTCTCTGCTATTTTTCCTTGGCCCTGCTTCTGTGGCCTGAAATGGAGCAGTCCAAGGAAAGCCATATCGCTTGATGCTGCTGATGGCTAAAACCAGGCCCCCAAAGAAAAATTGGAAGGGACCTAGAAGGACATCCAGTCCAACCCCCTGCTCAATCCAGGAATACAAATCAAAGGATATCTGCCAGGTGGTTGTCTAAGTGCATATAAATGGCTTTGGCTTTGTAGGTGGCCAGGCCAATACTCCTGAGCATTCAGGATAGTGTGGGAAATGTTGTTATGTCCAATGACAATTTTGTGTACCTGGGGTCATCTTGGGGCCACTCTGACTTCCAAAAAAGGGCATGTATATTTTCAAATATACATGAAAATATACATAGCTATTTGCATAGCTTCTGAAAGGCAGTTTCCTTTGGCTATCTTGGTAGGGAGCATGTCAAATTCAGGAAAGTGGCAGTAAGCAACCGCACCAAAAAGATACTCTATGGATGAAGCCCCAGTTTTGCTTGCTAGTTATATCACAGGTGCAAATGAACTCCATAGTGCAGTGACTGAATATCAGGAAAAATGTCCTAACTGTTAGAGTGGCAAGACAGTGGAACCAATTACCTCGAGAGGTGGTGAGTTCTCCAACACTGAAGGCATTCAAGAGAAACTTAGATATCCACCTGGCAGAAATCCTTTGATTTGTATTCCTGTATCGAGCAGGGGGTTGGACTTGATAGACTGTTCAGTCCCTTCCAACTTCTCTGTTCTATAATTCTATGATTCATTCAATGCAGTCATATCTGGGATCTGTAAGCAGAGGTCAGCCAACTAGAGAAGTCGCTTCATTTACTAGTCTCAATGGCATGCCTTACTAGCTAAAGCATAAATTTTGATTTAGATAGAATCTAAAAGCAGGTGAACAGAAGACTCTTCCTTCCAAATGTCAAGACATGAAATGAAAATATTACCAACTATTCAAAAATATATCTCTCGATCTCTCTCTTAATCTCTCTCTCTCTCTCTCTCACACACACACACACACACACATACACACACACAAGCTTTTGCAGTTTTAAAACATATATGCACGCACATGAGGAAAATAACATTTTCCATTTCCATAGACAATTAGTGCAAATCCCCCAAGGATAAGAAAGGAAATCAAGACCAACCCAGACAGAGGGTTTGATCAGATAGCAATATGAAACCACTATAATATAGTCTGATCACTCCATAACTCAGTTCAACAAAGTGATATCATCAACAATCATCCATGTTAACTTGAGGGGGTGGTTTCCAGACTCTCAATGTTCAGATTAATGTGTCCTTTCAAATTACACTTCCTGAAACCTTGGCAAGCAGGGTATTGAGACACCTTCAAAATGTACACTAACTTTACATAAAGGCATTTATTGGCTAAGCCAGATGATTTCTTTTTTGCCCTGTTTCAGGACTGGCCAACTTTACTCTTTCCAGGAAAGTGTGCCCAAAAAATGTAATAAACAAAAACAGAAGTGGCTAAATATCCTTTGAATTTTGAAAACAAGAGTATAGTTCAAGACATGAAATGATACCAGAAGGCCCTGTGGCATATTTGAAAAGTGATTCTCCACTCTGGAATGCTACAATTCAACTTTTTTAAAAACAAAAAAAGAAGGGAATCCATAAAGCTTGAGGACCCCTAAAACAGCAAAGGGGTGTCTACATATGGCATACAGCTCCACTTTATCCACCCCAGCCCTCTTTAAACAGAGAAGAATGCTTCAGAATTCATCCAGCACTCCTCTGTAGCTACCCACTGTAGGGGAAGAGCAGTAGGAGCAGACAAGGTATCTTTCAGGGTAGCTTATCCCCCTTTACTACTAATTGGGGAACCCTCAACAAGCATGTGAGGGCCCCAGCTTGGCACACAGCTCAGAAATCACTGAGTCAGAATGAAAATATATATAGCATTTATACTCAATATAAGGGAAGCAGGCAAATAGGCCTCCAGAGTCTCAGTTTGGAGCCATAGAGCAAGCTCCTCCATGGCAGGATCTGTCCTTGTTCTTTAACTCTCCACACTCCTTTTCACCAGCTTATGATGCTGTGTATGTGGTACAGTCATATTTTGACAATGCAATTGTACACATTAGGTAGTTACTTGATTTGTATCATACCTTGCTGGGGCCCAAAGTGGCTCACAACATCATTTTTTACAAATTCAAATACAAGTGTATCTCTTTTGGCCAGCTGAGATATTTCTGGACTGTTCTTGCTAGAAAGGTATAAGAGTAATTTTCCACTGAGCTCCACTATTAGAAAGGCAACAGTCTCAAGTCTCTGCTTTTATTTCACTGGTAAGTGATTGTTTTATCCTTTCAGGTTGAAACTTGAAATATCAATAATGCTGGAGGGCGGGACCTACTTCATTCTCTTATGGATGGAAGGCAAGGCTGCCTTCTGAGTTGGATTTGAAGCAAAGGCCATTTCAGGAGGACCACCAATATGGAAGAAGACATCTGTGAAAGTCCCACCAAAATATTTCACTTGGTTTAACTCTGCAGGTGCTTTTTGTTGTCCAGGAGCTTCCAATGTACCTTGGAGTTATACTTCAGTGAAGCTTTAGTGACTTTTTAAGGATATAAAATGTGCTTAAGGATTGTTTAGAGCACCTATTTGATATACCCAAGATTCCAGATCCAATCCCTAGCATCTCCAGGAAGGGTAGGAAAAACTCTTGTCTGAAACTCTGGAGAGTGGCTTCCAGTCCGTGTCAAAATTATTAGGGTTAAATGGATTAATCACTAGGATAAAAAAAACTTTGGAATACTTTCGGTCATCTTAATAGAACCTCAACTCCTTGAGTATTTTACTTAAGCAGAAAAGTTCCAGGCTTGATCTAAGCAAAGTTTTGTGACAACACTACTCAGAAGAGATGAAGGGGTGATGTCATGAAGGGGGAATATTTCTCACCAGCCCTGGCTACATGATCTGGATTGCAAGGCAGACATCTGTATTCTGTTTCATATTTGCCCTTTCCTGCAAAGAGACAATTTAAAATGCTGTTGTGGATCAGCATAAGGGTACTGGGGGATGTTAAAGTGCCACAGAAAGCATGCACAGGAATCAGCAGCATCTGGTGAGATGAACAAAATTGGCCACAGTCTACCCCAGCAAACAGATATAGTAGCAGTTGTATGTTAATGGAAGCACGATCACAACATTTCCCCACCACCACCATGCTACCCTGCTCCAACAAACATTAACACAATTCCATTTAGCTAAAGGAGGGGGGGGGAGCTGGTTCTTCTCTTTCAAAAAGAAACTGAATTTATAATATAACCCTAAAAAGTCATCTGGCATAACATGAACAGTTTCCTTTAATTTAAAGTGCACTGGCTTCCCATAGTCAGAAAACATTCTGCCCTTCTCCAGGAAATGAGGTGGAAAGAGAAGATGTTTCTACTCCTGAACGATTAATGTCCATACTCCTGAAGAACTTCCGACCGCTAGCTTACTGCCTGTGGACAGGCTGCTGAGTTGCTGCGTCAGCTCCCTGAGTTGAAAGGATGTGTTCTCTCCCTTTGTTTTTTTCATATTTCAATTTTTCCATAGAGTCGGCTCTTCAGAGAGCAAGGAGGTTTTGTGGAATGTTGCCTGAGAACATGTTGAGAGACAGGAACTATTGGTCACTTAACTCCTACAATAATCTTTTTGATGTTGATAAACTCCAGTGCTCTCTTAGAACAATTTCTCCAAAAAGGAGACACGCATTCCAGTAAGAACCCTTGCAGACTGCAACTCTCTTTCTTTAGATGTGCAAGAGCAGCATATTGTGGAGAGCACGCCATGCAAGGATGAGATGTACCTAGAGGGAACTTATCTGGATAACCCCGCTAGAAGATCCCACCAAAGGGATCAGTAATGTGGCACAAAGCCCCAGCTGCATGTGGCAGAGACAGTTGAGATGGTATCTCAGACATGGTAGACCTTTTCTTCTAAGGCAGGATTCACTTCCCCATGCATGCGTCTGAAGGTGCTGTGCCGCAGGATTTGCCAACCACGATGGAAACTGTTCCCAGATGTGTTCCTCGAGACAGATGGAGATGGCTCCTTCTTGAGGTGCCTATCGAGCTGCTCTTTGTCCTGGCTCTTGAAGGCCTCTGCATACCGAAGCACCTTGTGTTTGTTGGAATCCACGCGCTCGTCCACCCTGTGTAGATTGAAAAGAATGAACCATCATACCTTGCCTCAACTTATACTGTCAAAGTAGCCCTACTGTGCAGTGTCTCTTGACTGTGTCATGCCCAGCAGGTTTTCTAGAAGGGGGGCAGAGATTTAATCACCCAGTTCTGGTGATGGCAGATCAGCTTCTCTTTTCAGCCAGTGGTAGACCTCTAGTGTCAAGTTACAGCTTCTGTTGCTTAGATGAAATAGCTCCTCTTGCCAGAGACTGCAAGGCTTGAACCATGAACTTAACAGGGCTTGTGTACTTCAGCCTCAGGAGACAACTGGCAAACAATGTTGCCTATGATTGACAGGCAGGTTGAAGGCTCAGCACTGGACAAGCTGATAAACCCAACCATTTTGCTTTCGTTGATCAACAGATCTTTTTCATTTATATCCTCTAGTTCAAGTTCAGCTTATAGCCTTTCTAGATCTCTTTATAACCTATCATAACCCCAGACAAGGAAAGGCTTGGACAAGCTAAGCTTCAAGCTGGGGAAAACTGTACCTGAAACCATTTGAAATCAGCAAAAAGAATGCTGAGCTAGACAGACTGAAACAGACACTGCAGAAAATCTATCATTAGAAGGAGTTTCTTAACTGTGGACCTTGTTTCAGTGTTGCTGCTTTTCCCACCTCATGTAATTTCCAAATTATCTTGCTTCATTTTGTGATTGCTCTTCAGGGATTGCTTTGAAGTCTGATTCTTCAAACACAAAAGTCTCCCGGAATCACGTGTCACCAATACCCAAGCGCTTTCAGTTCTAATTCAACTGTTCAAGTCAACTATCATGTCAATCTCTGTCCATTGTGAATGGATGTAAAGCAGCTTCCTATGATCCCCTCTCACAGATGCCCATGAGATGGTTAACTGGTGGCAACTGCTCCATCTTAACACTCATTTATGCTTGGCAATATATGTCTCTAAAGCAGTTGTGGACAACATGTAACCAAATGTGGTCTGCAGGCCTCCATGGGCCTCTCCAGCATCACTCCATACTCACCCCCAATTTATCTGGCTCAAAAATCGCCTTGTAACCCTTAGGGGTCAAGGGGGTGATTTTGACATGTTCTGAAGGTTCTTCCCACCCATGGCTCCCTGACTTCAAACAAGTGTGGGTTCTTTTGGTCACTAAAGAAGCTTTTGCAGTTTTAAAACAAAGTAACCAAAATGTTTTGGGAGTGAGGTGTGTCAAATGACCCTCCAGGTTCCAGAGATGGTTCTGCGTTGCTTCTAGACCCCAGGAGGTTGCTCACTCCTAGCCTAAGGAGACTCACCTGAGAAACCACTTGTTTCCTAGCCCATAGTCGTGTCCACAGATACCAGAGCGAGGCCAGAGGCACCGTGGCAGCTTCCGCTCAAGCATGACTGTAGTGGCCACAACCTGCATGAAAAACAAATGTCATCAGACCAGTCTTTTTTTAAAAATAGTAATGATTGGTCAGATCCATATTCCTAAGTCTAGCTAGACGTTCTGAGTCTCTTTTACATTCCCTTCAATTTGCTCCTAAATTACAGAGATTCTAGTGGGGTTTTCAGCATACATGAGATGTTCAAGGAATGGCTGACCGTTGTCATCTCAGAGCAAGTCTCCATGGCGGAGCAGAGATCTGAACCCCGCTTTCCTGAGCCCTAGTCTGATACTCTTATCTAATACACAATGCCAGGTTTCATCTCTTAGGTACATTGCTATGTTTAGTTGATCTCAATTTGTACATTTTTACTTATTTGTAAATATAAGTGCAATAATTTTATTTATCTATTATTTACTGTTCTGCAGTTTTGCTTATTTATCTTACGACTGGAAACTGCAGTAAAATGCTGCCATGTGGAATGACCCAGTTTAGGCTTCCAGCTCGCCAGACATACTCTCTGCTAAGATCCTCCATCCCATTTCATCTGCCCTGCCCTTCCACATTTCCAATACACAAGAATTCTATAGCCACTGAGTAAACTCCGACCTAAGGATGTCATGGATATGTGAAATTTATTTCATCCTTGACAAGGATGAGTGACATCCAGTTACCCTATTAAAACATAGTAAATCATGTTTGTTTTTCCTCTTCTGTGTGCAAGCAAAATGATTAGCAATTCTTTTTCATCAACAGCAGCTTTAGCACATCCCCTTTTTGTGTGTGTAAAAAAATTTTTTTCCAGAAAAAGAAAGCCTGTATTTTGTTGTACAAATTACAAAGTTATCTGGATAGAATCAAAAAGTTTTTTTTTGTAGATTTTCATATATATACAGTATATATTTGCACAAAGAACAAATGCATGGATTGTTCACAAAAAAAAGTGCTGAAATGTGAAAAAGTCACCACAATTCCTATAATCTCACCAGGCACGGAGAAAACCTTTAGAATTTTCCATTCTCATCCACAAGAATGAAATCAGCAAAGGTTTACAATATTCTACACATTACACTAACTTTGAATCAATTAAAATAAAGCATCTGATCTTCTAATATGGTTCAATTTGTGAATTCATGTTGCTTTAGAGTTTAGAATCAGCTAATCTGTCCTTTAATTCACACACGTTAATTTAAAGAACTTGGAAGTCTATCTTGGTAGTCCTGGATATGGTCTGGAAGGGCTGAAGCACACTTTTGTATTTGAAATCTGCATCTATTAGAATTTTCACATTGGGAATCTTGGCAGGTGCTCATGTCCAAGTGCCTGCTTTGTGGTTCAGCCTTCTTCCAGCTGCAGTCACATACACACAAGCTTCTGGGAGAATTCAAAAGAGATCTCAGCAGCATAAATGCCCTTGAACATTTCTTCCTTGTGGTTGAGGTTTCCTGTGGCGAAAAATCTGGAGAAGCCTCATGATGTTACACGAACTCATCACAGAACTGGGGCCCTTCCAATTCAGAAAAAAATTCTCTGTGGCAACTACTTTGTGTTTGGATTGGGTTTGTATATTTGTCTCCTTTAAAAAAAATAAAGGAGCTCCACCTTTTTACAACTCATATAAACGGAGTTAAGCTACTCTTCAGATTTGATTGATTTTAAACATGGTGAGCAAATATTGTACATTCACAGAAATTGCAGACTTAGAAGGTTCAAACTGAACAAAATTTGTGGAATATTCCTGAAATGGCTCCATATTGGTTTTAACTGCAAATATTCAGTGAAATGCTTCAATATTATTTTGTATTTTTGCCTTCTGGCTATTAAAAGTACATTTTCCTTGAATACAAAAATACTGTTCAACATGTTACTACCCTTGTTTACTTAGAAGTTAATCCCGCCTTGTTCAAAGGGGCCTTCTTTCTGGTGGGCGCAGACCTTCAAGCTTATCTCCAGAGTTTTTTCACTGCTTGAACCTAATTCTTTTAAGCATATGCACAGTGCCAGGTCTTCGCCCTTGAATAGACACAGCTAAGTTCAAGGGAATGATTTGCTCACAGATCTGAGCTCTGGAATCTTCCATTTACCTCTACACTATATATTCAAAATTCCCTTTAGAGAACCCCAGTTCTCAGAGTTGTTTGACTGGTTGTTATGCCAATTAAAATACCTCGCAGCTGCAATTAAAATATGGCTCAAGTGACAAGAGATGTCTACAATGTCAACTTTTCCCCATGCAACTCTGCTCATTCGTTCTGGTTCCGCAAGAACGACATTCTCACCTGTGCCCGCCAAAGCTCATCCCGTTCATTTGCCACACGCCAATGGGTGTCACCCATCATGGCGATCAGTAGATTGAGCATAAGCAAAGCCGCAATGATGGCAAAAGCAAAGTACACCACACTGTACATGAAGGGAAGGTCCACGTCGTAATTGGCAGGCCCATCAATGATGGTAAGGAACAGTTCAAAGGTGGTAAAAAGGGACATGGGATAGCTGTAGAACTGTCCTAGGCTCGTGGGATCTTCTGTCTGGAAGATGATGTAGAAAGCTGATGATGAAGCAAAGAGAACCAGAGATCAGCTACAGGAAATGACAAGTGTAATGATTAAGAGTACAAACAGCATTTTCCAGTTCCTGGGGAACTTTTCATTGTCTCCATCCCTATCTTGTGTTTCAGAGGTAAATCTATGCCTTCTCATTTCTCGTGCATATAGTTTTCAGCCACCTTGCTTCTTGACTTTCTGCTGGTAAGCCACCCAGGACTTTAATACTCTTTTGTCAGGTTTACTTCAACCTCACTGTTCACCTCTGGCCTACTTTCTCTGCTCCAATCCTTCTCGATTCCCTTTGCCTCAGTGCCCTACATCCCTTGGGGTTCCCAAAGAGGGAACCCTATTGATAAATAGCATATCGTTCACAATGGCTGGATTGTTAGAATTACTTAAAGGAAACGAACTTTTCACATACTCAAAGTACCTTTTCATGTTATAATTTCTTTACCCACAGAGACACTCAGCGCTAGAAGGTTAATAGACTCCTCCCAAGCCACTGATATTCAGCTTTCCTTCACAGTGTAATCCCATTTATTAAACACAGTTTGAATAGGATTACAGGCTTCATTTGCTTACAGCACAGGTCTATTAATGTTTTCTCAGAAGGAAATCTCTTTGAGTTCAATGGAACATATCCTGTGTTAAGTGTGCCCAGGGTTGTTGCAGCCTAGGAGAGGGGATCAGTCCTGGGAACCTGTGCTTTAACCACAACAGTACAGTGGACCCTCTACTTAAGGAATTAATCCATATTGGAACGGTGGATGCAAGTCGAAAAGTCTGTAAGTCGAATCTCCATTGACGTACAATGCACTGAAAACCGATTAATCCCATAACCAGTAGTTGTTGCAGCCTAGGAGAGGAAATCAGTCCTGGGAACCAGTGCTTTAACCACAACAGTAAATTCCTGCTGGAGTTTCTGAGATGCCTGTATAGTCTCGTTAGCACTCACTTTCAGAAGCACGGCCTTACACCAAGCAATTTTTGCTGGAGGAGTAGTGGGGTTTTACACCAGATGGAGGGGGGGCTCGAAAAGTCTGTAAGTCGAGCCATCTGTAAGTCAAGGGTCCACTGTAAATTCCTGCTAGCGTTTCTGAGATGCCTGTACAGTCTCTTTAGCACTCAGAAGCACGGCCTTACACCAAGCAATTTTTGCTGGAGGAGTAGTGGGGTTTTACACCAGATGGAGGGGGGGCACTGAAACAAGATACATCAGGGTCACAGATTTTGACCATCTACAACTCCAAGTACCCAAGCATTTTGTGCCTCCTTAGCATCCTCGCCTGCAGTTCCAGTGGCTGAGATAGTCTCTATCCTAAGCAACCTCTTGGGCAAAATGGACACATGAGCCAGGCTGGAGTGAGGAGGGGAAAAAATATGGTGGAGGAATTGCACAATAAGAGAATACAGTATTGAAAAGAGGAGAGAGTTGTTGGTTGCCCAAGAATGTTAAAGAGGTGGGAAAAGATTGAATGGGCTCTTTAAAAAAAAAAAGGAAGAAGCACAAACCTAGTAAAAGACCAGAAGGAGAGGAGACAACTATGCTCTAGAGAATTCAGTCTGTTTTGTCTGCTTTTGAGTATTCATGCCATCTTCTAGGGTGAGGCAGTTTCCTTCCTATTCTTAGATTACCTCGGAGGACACCAATCAGAGCTACTTAGCCAAACTATTTCCTCATGTTTCTGAAAAGGTGCCCAGTACTTCCCTGTGGCTGAGCACTGCATGGAAAAGTTGATAATGAATGACGAGTGACCTGTTTTTTGGGGTAGCATTTTCAGCTAATACTGATTTTCTTGTTGGAGAATCTGAGTAAGCTTTCAAAGAACACCATGGCTCTCCAAAGCAATGTTTGAGAGCCACTGCTATACATTTAGAAATAGTAAACGTGTAGAGATACATGCTTTGGAACTGAACAATAACCAAAAAAAGGCCTATATGAAAAGAGGTCATAGATAAATCTATGGTGAAAACATCTGAGATTTTCCATTGGAGAAATCAGAAGTGAGCAATCCTTTGACTCTCCAGGTCTTAATGGACTCCTACTACTATCTGCCCTAAACAGGTTGCTTTAGAGTTTAGCTGATTCCTAAAACTGAAAACCCAAATTAGTATGAATTATTATAAGTTGCCCATCTCTACCCAAGTTTAACACAACACAAGCAAAGAGTTTCTATTCTCAAAATTAAAAACATTCTTACTAGTTTTTTTTAATGACCCTAATAATTCACCCACTGCTTTCAGTCTCACCTGATGCAAAGCCAAGAAGTACAACAGCCATTAGCCCACAAAAGCGTATCAAGTCGCCAAATATCATCTGTAGAGAAGAAAGAAAGGAAAACAGTGAGTTCTCTAGCTTTTTCATAGCTGGGCTATTCCCCATTCAGTAATCTCTGGGCATTTAAATTCAGTGAAAGGTTGCTAGATGGATTTGTAGGGCTGCAGCTATCCTCAAAATGCCACTTCCAGATTTGTGCAAATGATAAGATGTTGGTAATTCTTAGAAGGTGCATGGATCTGTTTGGTATTTAAGGCATTTGCTGAACCTTTTCTGAGTTGATCTTGCCATGGTTGGGGACTTAACGCCTTTTACAAAAATAGGAGAAGTCTTTGGAAGGAAACCTGCCTCGACATTTGCCTTTTCATTTTATTTATCTATAATTTCTAATAAACTCACATAATACTCTTACCTTCTGTATCATGATGGTGAAGGGACCAAGCATCTGAAACCCCCTTGCAAAATACATGACATTACACCATCCGAGCACCAGGGCAAAGGACATAGGGACCACTTCTCCATAGGTGCTTGTGAGGCGCATTACCAGGATCACCAGGATCATACATGCATATGTGATACTGTAATGGAAATTGTATGATTAAGAAAGTGTAAACCAGAGTCAACAATACCTCTAGGAGCATTTGCCAGTAACAGTTAGGGCAGAACTAGGTGATACAGTTCACATGCTCTCAGAAGCACAGTTCCCTTTACATATGAGTTTTATCATAATACTGTACAAGGTTTCTCAACCTGACAGCTACTATGACTGGTCACTGGAAAATAAAAAAGGGTTTCTGTTGCATGTCTGATTGTTCAGACACTTTTCTTTAAAGCATACCCAGAGGGGGGGAAAAGTGTCACAGACAGAAATACACATGTCTTAAAATGTATATAACTTCTAAATGTCACTAATTTGTCTGTTGGTATCCTTCGTATGGTTCAGAGGTTATTTTTAATATCACAAGGATGGGCAGATACCACGAGATGCCAATGATGAAAACATGCAGGGATTTTGTTTATCCCCAAGACAACATTAAAAACAAACAAACAAACAAACAAAATACCACTCTGTCAAAGAACTGAGCAGGAGAACTGCTTCTCAAGAAAAGTGTCTGAGTTCAAGATTTGCTTTCACCCAGTTAAGGTCCTGGAAGGCAAGAGAGAGACCCAGAACTGTGGGAGGAGGTAGAAGTAAGCCAAGGCCAAGCAGAGAAAAGATTCAGGTGGAAATCTGGGTGTGGAGGTAACAAGCAGCCCATTCCACCTGTTGCCCAGTAGAATCTCTTGATTTCCTTATGGTGAAACACAACATTTCTGAGAAGCTGACAAGAAAATAGATATGTGGCCGAGGAGAGCCATTTATACAAGGTAAAAAGAGGAAGGAAGAACAAGAAGGAAGTAGCTCTGTGGGCCCCTGAGGTAACAAAGTGGAAGGCAGCTGTCACAAAGATGAAACTTCTATCTGGTATCACCCTATGCCTTTTGTCTGAGAACATGTTAAATACAAACTAGCTGATTCCTAATAAAACCTCCCCAAGTTGGTTTCTGCTACTCTGCACTCATTCATTTTTTCTGCTATGGCTTTTTGGGCCCTCTTTAATCTCTTTTAAAATCCCATAGAAATTTGGAGGAACCTCCAAATTCAAATTTCACTTTTGTAAAAATGAAACAAAACAAAACACTGGACCTTTTTGAGAGATTTTTTTAGTTCCCCTTGAAATTCCTCTGATACTTCAACATAAGGAAAAAGCACTTGAGGCCGGTAGTATAACATTCACCACTTAGTTCAAGTTCCTGGGGCTGACATTAGGCATGCTGAGACACTGAATGTTCCTTGCATAAATTCGGGGGGGACGACTAGCTCTGCATGCAATGGAGTGTCGCACATGCAATCTATGGGGCAATATGATTCCAGCCTAGTGGTTGTTGTGGGTTTTTCAGGCTCTTTGGCCATGTTCTGTAGGTTGTTCTTCCAAACGCACTGTGCTGTCCTCGGAAGATGCCAGCCACAGAGACTGGCGAAACGTCAGGAAGAACAACCTCCAGAACACGGCCAAAGAGCCTGAAACACCCACAACAACCATTAGATCCCGGCCATGAAATCCTTCGCGAATACATTCCAGCCTAGGTTTATGAAATTTAACTTCAGAGAAACAGGGGAGTTCTCATTCTGAAACATAGGCTTGCAAAGAAGGAAAGCCAGAGAGGCAAGAGTAGAACCAGTTGGTAAAGGAGGGGAAAAGTAGAGAGCAAACAGAAAGAGAGAGAGAGAAATCAGTGAGAAAAGGAGGATGAATCTGTGAGCTTGAAAAAATTTAGAGCCTCACACAATGATGTGGAAAGGTCCTCCCTGGATGGTTTGTCCAAAATATTTAGTGGCTCCAACTCTCACAATATCTGGAATCTGCAAAGATGGGATCAATTAGAATGGAAATGTTCTGGCTGCCCATGCACTGAAATGAAAATTCTTTTAAAATATGAACTCGACTGAATCAGTGGAATAAAATTTTAATAAATACATACTAATATATTTTAATTAATTATACAATCATGGCCAACGAGTCAATGAATCCCTTTACAATGTAACAAGTCAACAAATTCCTTCACAATTCCTTCTTTCAAGTAAGATTTGGACTGTATAATTTGTTTTTTTTCCCCTTACCTCTAGAAGCAAAATCACCAGAGCTCCTATCACTGTGATCAGCTCCCCCACCAACCTGAGCTGATCCTCATATGTAACATATGATTCCTAGAAACAGGAAAGTAACATCAGTTAATGAACAAACAGGATCAAAGTAAAATCTTTGGGGAGAAACAGTGATACAAGTAAGGGCAGGGGAATTAGATCTGGTGGTATCTAACCAGGAAGAACCTTTGGACAGGATCTTCTCATATAGACCTTAAAACTGTTTCAGGACTGTATACCACTTTAGGCACAATGGAGTGCCCTTCCATTAAAGCAAACAAACATTCCTGCAATACAGAAAAATAACCTATCAAAAAGAAGGCTAAGCTTGAAGCCTTCTCAGTACCCTCATGATTTCCGCATGGAATTTTATTTATAAAATCATATATCTTCCTTCTGCATTATGATGTGGTAATGTATAACATCTTCTCTGAGATTTCAGATAAATAGGACAGTCTTTCTTTCAGATCCTTCAATTTCAGGAAACAGGAGCTGGTAGCGTTTGCAGCAGGGACTTTCTCAACCTCACTGCATTGATGCCGTATTGATCCTGAACAACAATAACAACCGGCCTACTGGCAATAGAGAATCTGAGGTTCTCCATTCCAAAGGCCAACTTAAAGATGCATGAAAGAAATGGAAACTTTTTGCTACATTTAGGTTTTTGTTTTTCTTTATATTCTGTTTTCTTTGCTTTTTAAATTATTTTAAAAACATACATTCTTACGTGTTGGGGGAATTGTACGATGCCTTAATTAACAACTTTTAAAATAAGCTAGGGACAGCATTGAGAAAATATAGATAAACTATATGGCCAGGGCCCTGGGTGGCCTTGACACCTTCAAATAAGAATGAAGCATTAAGCTCCTGAGCTGGTAAAGTAGGGGATGTCATTTTTAAATTATTCCTCTTGTTTAAAAAAATACTCAGTGTAAGGAGGAAGCATCCTCATTTTGCTTTAGGCATAGACCGAGAGATGTGTGCACTTATGTACAGATCTCTGTTGAGATTTGTAACGCAGCATACCTGCAGTGTTTTCTGGATGAAAATGGTGATGTCCCGCTGATCCGTCTGGTTGTCTGGACGATCTTTCAGAGGCCTATAGACACAGCACATAGTAAAGCAAATCATGTAGAGGATATAAAATAACGCCAAGAAACAGAAGTAAGGGCGTCCATATGTGTTCCACTTCAGGTTCACAAGCTCCTTCACTGGCGTAATGTCTAGGACACGACGAGCCTGTAAGAAGAAAGAGACAGGTCACAAGGCAGTCTACACCAAGCCTTTTCAAGAGAGGAAGATGCAAGAGCCGTACTTCTACAAAAGGGATAGCTGCAAAGCTTTTTTTCCCCTGAAATCTTGAACCAAAATAAGTTATGAAATAGGTTTGGCAGATAGTTTTCAATGGCATAAAGGTCAAAAACTAGCTTGCTTGAGTTCACAAACGGCGCAGCCCAGAACAGATGAGTGGTGGTTTTTAGGTATTCTACACATTCCCTATTATTTTCCCCTAAAATGTGAGCCTTCTTACCTCAACACCCACACAGTGCTATTGTTTTTCCTTTCAAAAAAACTCCTCAGAACTTGCTCCTTAAAGTGGGGCGAACAGTTACGAGATCACAAGCAGAGTATAAATGCAACAAACAAAAGAAGCAAACACTATTTATTTACTCATATGCATCCCTTTGCTACTCCCCCATAATGACGTTCACCACTCCATTATTAAAATTTAGATTATAAGCTCCTCGAGACAAGAAGAACCGGCATTTATTTATTACACTGATGGCACAATAATAAATAAGAATGTGCAGCAAGTCTAGTTCAATGTGAAGCCTTCCCCTGTGTGAGACTCCTTGAAATGAATGCAAGAGTACTGCTGCAGATGGTAGATTTCGAGTCTCTTTTACAGTAGTAATAAAAAAGAGACAGAAAACAAAAGCAGGGAAATGGTATGTTTGCTCACTGGGTGAAGAGACTGTTATTGCAGTCTTTTAAAAATCAAATTTGCTATAGGAAGCACAAACACTATTTATCTGATCAACCGTTTTCATACAGAATTTACAACAGTAGCATGGCCAAAGGTAGCACACGAGGTGGGAAACAATTACTCAAGAAAGTGAAACTGGCATTCGTGTTTCTCATTATTATGGCCTGCAATTGCTTTGGTGCATGGATAAGCCCTAAGAAACCAAGAACTAAGGGATATGTACTGATATGAAAATTCTATAGTGGCAATTTTTTCAGCTGCCTACTGGTCCTAATGTGCTGCTAGAGAAATGCCTGCAAGAGACAAGAAATCAAAGGCCTTATGAAACTTAGCCACAGGCTAACTACTATTTTTCTGGATGATGCCCTTGCCTTTTACAACTCAGAAGAGTTGCCCAACATTGTGATCCATGTCTACCTGAAAAGTAAACCCTTCTAGCTCTGAAAGAATGCAAACAGAGAACTGATGGTTTGCAGTCCTCCATGAAACTAGAATCAGAAACCCTGGTGCATGCTCAAATCAAGGTTTGTGCTCATGATCGTTTGGAATCTGAATTGACAAACTATTGTTATGGCTCTAGGTCTCTTACTGGAAGCCCCTTTCTGTTGAGCAGATAGAAAACCAACAGTGAGAGGTGGCTGTTTTCTGTTACAGCTCAAAAAAAATCTGGAGTGTTCCATCTAGGATGAGTACAAGGCATAAACTGGCATAATGCCTGGATTGAATTCACTTTTATGCTGGCTGGATAGCTCAGTGAGTTTGATTCCCCAATGTTCCCCCTGGGAGAAGAGCCAGCCTATGTTGAGAGTTTGATTCTCCACTGTTCCCCCTGGGAGAAGAGCCAGCCTATGTGGCCTTGGGCAACCTCGCACAGTCCTAGGGTGCCCCAGAAGAAAGGAATAGTAAACCACTTCTGAGTACTGTACTTTCTACCTAGAAAACTCTGAAAAGGGTTGCGTATAAGTCAAAATAGACTTGATGGTGCAGTATTATTATTACGCATAATAATTCAATGTAACTATAGCATTTAAATTCTAGCACTCACTGATCGCCTGGGCTCTGAAATAAGATCTAGTAAAGCAGCTATTACTCTCTTAGCAACTCTAATCTGATGCTTCCATTGAAGTCCACTAAAAGAAAATTACTGCTTCTACATAGTACCAAAGGAAGTTCAAAGGTTTCAATGTGTTTGCTCTGTTTTTAAATATGGTGTTTTTTAAAGGGACTTTTAAAACTGCATGCATTTTACTGAATGTTTATTGCACTATTTAGCATGTTTTATGTGATCTTGGATAGCTCAGTGAGTTAAGTATTTGGCTGGGGAGCCAGAGGCTGGGAGTTCTCCATTGTGCCTGCAAGAGGAGCCAGCCTGTGTGGCCTTGGGCAAGCTGCACAGTCCCAGGTTGCCCCCAGAAGAAGGGAAGGGTAAACCACTTCTGAGTATTCTCAATGTAAACCTTTGAGTGTTTGCTCTGTTTTTAAATATGGTGTTTTTAAAGGGACTTTTAAAACTGCATGTATTTTACTGAATGTTTATTGCACTATTTAGCATGTTTTATATGATCTTAGATAGCTCAGTGAGTTAAGTATTTGGCTGGGGAGCCAGAGGCTGGGAATTTAATTCCTCAGTGTGCCTCCCAGAAGAGCCAACCTGTGTGGCCTTGGGCAAGCTGCACAGTCCTGGGATGTCCCCAGAAGAAGGGAAGGGTAAACCACTTCTGAGTATTCTCGATGTAGAAAACCCTGCAAAGGGTCACCGTATGTCAGATTAGACATGAAATCACACATTTATTAGTATTAACCCCTAAGGACAGAGGAACACAAGATTATATACATTATTTATATATGCAATCACCACTAATTAACACTATTTGTTGTAGTTTCTTTTAGAGACCACCATGGTAAGAGCATTTATTGGTTGGAGGCTAAGAAAAAGAGTGGTAACACCCCTCCTTCAAATCCTTGCCTCCATTAAGGCCCAGAAAGCAGATATGGACAGGCCAGTCTCTTCCAACCCCCGTCCTCTCCCCTCCTTCATCTGTCAAAGGGAGCAACAATCTTGTACTGCAAGGATTACTGAGATAATCTATCTAGAATTTTTTCAATGTATGGAGTGAGCCATATACAGTCAACCCTCGACTTACAAACGGCTCTAGTTACAAACATTTCCACTTGCAAACCGCTCTGATAGAAAAGTATTGACTTGACTTGCCAACTTAGATTCGAGTTACAAGCTGAAAAAAATGCATGGGAGGCAGGGAAAGCGTGAAATTTGAACTTTCAGTTAACCGTTGACCAATGAAGAGGGTGCCTGTCTGCTTCCTCGCTCTTCCCAGCGTTTTGAGAGTGGATTTGGAGACAGTCTTCAGACTGTATGGTATTGCCTGGTACAGTGCTGTACGGACTCTAATTTAATTTTTTGGCTTTTTTAATTTTTTTTATTTTTGGATTTTTAAAAGTGTTCCCTCCCTCCTTTGCTGCTCCCTTTTTCCCTTTCCCTTTTCCCCCAAAGGTGCTTGTATTGGCTTGTCTTGATTGAAAAGTGCTTTTTAAGGTGACCTGTTGTCTGAAAGGTGCTTGGTTTTTCCCAGAAGGTGCTTGTCTTGGCTGAAAAGATGCTTTTCAATGTGTTCTGTTGAAAAGGTGTCTGTTTCCCTCCTTCCCTCCCTCCTTTCTTTCCTTTTTTTAAAACCTAAGTCACCTAAGGTTAAAAGGAAAAAAGTAAAAAAATTCTGGCCCTAGAGGTAGGAACGGATTAACCGGCTTTGCATTAGTTCCTATGGGAACTAATGTTTCGAGTTACAAACTGCCCCTCGACCTAAGAACCAAAAACAGCCGGAATGGATTAATTGGTTTACAATGCATTCCTATGGGAAATGCTGATTTGACTTATGAACTTTTCAACTTACAAACATCCTTCTGGAATGGATTAGGTTTGTAAGTCGAGGGTTGAATATAACAACAACTTAAAAGTCCAGGCCTCCGTACTCACTTTTTTGCACTCGATAAGAACACAAGACAGCTGTCCTTGGTCAGACCAAGGGCCCATCTAGTCCTTCGTCATGTTCATGAAAATGACCAGCCACCACGTTCTATGCTGAGGTGTGCATGAAGGCAATGTCCTTCTTCTATGGCTTTACACAACCACCGGTAACTAGCAGGCTGCAAATTGTACATGTTCAATTGAAGAATTATTTTTGCCTGCTCTGAATGTTACTAGCAGGCTGCAAATTGTACATGTTCTTATACGTTTGATGAAGAATTATTTTTGCCTGCTCTGAATGTATTCGCTATCAATTCAATTCCAGTATTGCCCACTCACTAGTCTTCCATCTTTTTAGCCCAGGGATCTAACAGAAACCTAGACCACAATATGGGGCTGAGCTGAAAATGAACATCTTTATCCGCTGTCCATTTGGCTTCTTCCTACTAGCCCTATTTAGACAGTATAGTGTGTTCTGTAAGTTTGTTAGTACACAGAAGGCAGGCCCACATCTTCTGGCCAAGCCTCTAACTTTGACCAGCTCAGATTCTGCATTCCTATGAATGCACAGAGGTCATTATCCTGATTTTGCCCCACAACCACTCCAAAGGCCTTGTCTCTTGATTCCATTCTTTTTTTTCCCTCTTCAACACTTGTAAAATATTTTACTGGCACGATGCTGGGTAAACTAGTTCTTCAATCAATGAGATGTATTTGTCAGTGATTTCGGTGAGTTGTTAAGATGCGTAAGTATAATATTACTTGTACAACTATAATTATCCGTGAGTGGTTCCTGGGGTCAGCAAAGATACTCTGTAACAACATCTTTGACTCAGAACTAGGAGGGAAAATGCATTTCGATTCCCTTTTAAGATCAAATAAGACAAATACATACAGGAGTTTAATCCATAAAAATGAAGTTAGAATGGCTGTTACCATGGTGCATATAAGCACCATGACCAGGAGAGCACACCTTAGTTTGTGATGTGATTCACCGGCCAGAGAGATTGCTATACATGTGAATGTAGTTCCATCTATATTCAGTAGACGTATTTCTAAAACAGTTTATGACGGTTCAAGCAGGTCAAATCTAACAGGCTACAACCATGTGAGATGTCATATGTAGGAATTGTAAAGGTCAACGGGTTGATGGCAGCTATTGCGCAAAACCATGGGGTGGGTAGATTTTTATGTGTAGCCTTTCCCATGTAATAAACACATTACAGAATTTAATGGGACGATGGTCAAAGAGTGCAGACACAATTCAATAGGCTTAACAAGATCTTAATAGGAAAACAATTTGTTTTTCCAGGAGAGTGGAACTGTATTTGACAAGTTATAGCCTGAAGGATAAAACATTTATTTCTCTTTTACCAAAAGGAGATAACACAGTCATATACACAGTGAACAGCACCAATCTTCTCTAGGGTGACAGTCAGCAGCTTTTCACAACCTACGTGAAAAAGGCAGGAATTACACCTCGGATCTTTTGCCCAGAGAGCAGTGCTGCTCTGTCATTTAAGTACAGCTGTTCCCTAAACAGATGGAATTTGATGCTGGGGAAACCATGCCATTTTCATAAGTAAGAGTTTGGGGGCTTAAATTTTCCCCCAATATGCTTTTATTCTCAAATGGGTGTTTTAAGTAAATCAGTGATCAAATCCTTGGAATAACTGGCTATTCCCACTGATGCTCCAGCTATACAGGCAAACCAAAATCAGAGTGATTTAGCTTTGCTGTGGCTTGATTCACCGCCTATTTTGCACTTCTGTTTGGATTATGTGATCACACAGAGACTGTGGATTGTTTTGGTGCCAAGTGCCCACACTAGCTCCTCAATCTGATGTGGTCTGATCTATGCCACAGCCCGCAGTCCCCTTCCTTTGATTCTGCCCTTTGCTGATTCCTGACTCTCCTATTACGGTTCACTGTGAAGCCTGCGGGCTGTTTAGAATGCTACATGGCATCAGGGAAAAGGGCAGTTTTCCATAACATACAAACACACACATACCACCAAAAAACAGTAGTCTGCTGAAGTTTGTCAAAGTTGTTTCTATTTCATATCGATTTTTTAAATTTTTATTGAAAAACAAAACTGCTATACAAACTATATAATCATTAAAAAGGCAAATTAATGACTACAAATAAAAAAACTCCCAGATATCATCATCATCAATACATACATTTAGTGCTCCCCAACATGATCTTCTGAGATACTTGTTTATTATTATTATTATCAATACTATTTATTTTTCTATCTTTCTCATTACAAAACTCTTTGTCCCTTCCAAAAATGCTATGTTTCTTGTGTTGGCACCTGACCTTTATTTCATATAGATTTGTTTTTCTTTTTTCTTTTTTTCTTTTTTCTTTGTCTGTGCAGAAGTGATCTAGCACTAATATATCAATGCAATGATAAGGTATTCTAGTGCTAAACTCAGTAGGCTGACTAGGGAGAAAAATTGTGGGGTGGGTGCTCCTGCTATCCAATATATCATGCCCAGCTTTGTACATTACCAGAATACTATACACAGTCATGTCCCTCATCCTTTTTCAGAATAAACAACAGATCACATGGGGAAACCATGGTTCAAATTGTTCTGGTTTTAAAAAAGTACAAATCCTCAGCAGCGGGAGGGAAAACTCAGCTTCAGAACTGAAAAAGGGCCAAGCTGATTCACACTGGCCTCCATCCTTTTTCAGAATAAACAACTGATCACATGGGGAAACCATGGTTCAAACTGTTCTGGTTTAAAAAAAGTACAAATCCTCAGCAGCAAGAGGGAAAACTCAGCTTCAGAACTGCAAAAGGGCCAAGCTGATTCACACTGGCCTTTGCAGTATGCGATCAGTTAAAAAAATTAATGCATCTGTTTTCTTCCACAGTAAAGCGCAGTATGCGATCAGTTAAAAAAAAGTAATGCATCTGTTTTCTTCCACAGTAAAGCTTGTACTATTTACCTGATAAATAGTACATAAATTGCCTGAGTCTGCAACCTGGGAGACCTTGTTATTCAATGTTTTCAGTTTTTTGGGGGCCAAATCTAAAGTGTTGTCTGTGGCTAGCCAGCAAGCTTCTGCCGGCAACTATTAGTCTCAAAAGAAAACAGTTGGATCAAAGCATAAATGACTGCCACCCTGCACTGTTGCAAATTCTGTTCTTCTTCTGCAGTATAAAGTGAATGAAGAGCAGAAGGCAAGAGGAAATCAGAGGGGCAGGAGCAACGTGCAACAGGCTGTAACTGCTTTGCAAGAAAAACAGGCTGCAGAAGAACGTTTGAATGCAGCCCTACTGCCAAATCACCCTAAAGCTAGGTATATGCATACAAAAATTCACCTTGCAGATTCACTGTAAATATTAGGTATAAATAGTAAAAAGTAAGCTCCACATTCTTAATACAGGATAGTCGCTAACTCTAAATACTGGCTTATGCATTAAAAAGCTTGAAAATCACAGAATACAGCTCTCTCCTAAATATAGGATGCTACCATGCCAGGAATGGAGACTAGACTACCCACAAAATCATGCAAATGACTGACTAACTGTCCTGGATATTCCCAGAATCCCAGAGGTACTTTCAGTCTTTTGTAAAAGATTTTTGTTGTTGTTGTTTGAAAGAAGGTTTACTTTGGTGTAATAGCTCTAGATCTATGTTTAAGGACCCTTTCTCTCTTTAAAAAAAATTAACCACACTTTCCATGCAAGTTAAATTAGGTATGGAAAACAATTTCATTGGACTTGACACTGTTATCAAAAGTCACATTGTTATACCTTTTAAGAAAATCCACTGTGAAAAGAAACCGACATTGCCACATGAATCTGTGAGGCTTACAGAACATTTCGGAAAATTCTGCACAAAAGCTATATACCTTTCAAAATGATAATGCCTAAAAATGTGCACAATTGAAGAATATGCAAGACCATAATTTAGTCAATAAAGAAAAATGTCCAAGATATGTAACCTGAAAAAAGTAAATGTACACATTAAGAAATGTGTGCAAAGGGGAAATGATCTTTCATGTATAATACTTCCCACCACAAGGCTTACAACTCAATGGGCAAAATCCTGTAGTGTATCATTGCATCTGCTGCAACTCAGATCTAGTGGCAGAAATGTTTAACTTGATTAAAAGCTTATTCTCTCCCCCCCGCCCCCCAATTTTAGGCTCCAAGGCTCTGTCAGGTTCCCTTCTGCCCTGGGGAAGCCAATGCAAGCCTTGGGACAGGAAAGTGTAAAAAATAGTCTTTTGATGTCAAAAAAACACTGCCCAAGTGCCCCTTTTGGGATCAGGATCACCACTGCTGATCCAGGAGCAATTGTTGACCTTTGAAGACTTCACACGCCCTCACTCGAGGCTCCCCAAGGCTTCCCTATGGCAAATGGGAGCCTGAGAAAGCCTTTGAATCTAAAACAGAGGGATTGGAACCTTAGTCCAAGTTCATTGTTTCTGGCATCCTATCTGAATTGTGTTGGGCACAAATTTACACAACAGGATTTTGCCCAATAAGGACAGGAAGTAAATCCTGGTGAGTTCTGTAAGAACACAATAAAACAGAAATAGATTTTCACAATCCCGCCATATAAAAGTTCCGCCTTTTCTACTTCATTATTTATGATCAACTGAAAAAGATCGCCACAAACACAAACTGAACAACCGTCTGCTAATGTTTGCTACACAACAACCATTCAGTCCAATTATTGTTTTATTTCACTTAGAGAAAAGCACAATCCATCAGCCATGTTGCCACGTGTAGCATTAGCAACCTACATTATTCCACTTTGTGCCACAAAGTTGAGGTCTGTAGTATAAATTATATAATGAAATCTTGTAATCATATATTGGCTTCTTCCTTTCACCAGATGACCAAGAACTTCTTAGGCTTTGTGGGTTACATAAACAGCTAGGAAGGCCAGTCAGATACCTTGTTCAGTAATGTCAGTAACCATCTTTCCATACATTTTTTAAAAAATGATTTGAGTTCCACAATACCTCTCTTTTCTTGGTTGAGACAATAAGCTCTAGAAAAGGCTCATCTTCACCCCATGAGTCAATTTCAGTGAGGTCATAGAGGATGGTGTTAATGGGACCAAAGGACCACAATATGTGCTTTCGTTTCTGCATGAAGTGCTGGAACATCTGAAGGGGAAAGAGAACCAGAGACTGATTATATTCTTCACAGGACTCTACACCCGAATTTACTGAGGATGACACTGAGTTTCAGAATATTTCATTTTTCATGCTAGACCAGAGATTGTGTACATCTGTTTGCTGGAACCTGGATGAAAATCTGTATAATCTACCATTAGGCCAGAATAGTTCATTCTGTTGATCTCTAGACTTCAACGCTCACCAGGAATATCTTGAATATGCTTTTACCACATGGATATGTTATTCATTGTTGTTCTTTATTTCTGTAAAGTAGCTGGACAGAGGAAAGCAAAATGTCCTGTCCAAGCCAGAGGGAATGCTGGATATAGGGATAAAGGTCTCTCTTTGCTTCGCTTGACATAACTAGGAATGACCAAGTTTCAAAATCAAGGCTGGTATAGACCTATAAATTAATTAAAAGCATCCTATCCACCTGTTTCAGGTTCTGAAGCTCTCTTTGGGAGTAAAAAATTGCTGCCAGCAGTCCTGATATCACCAACTGATCTGGTGGCTATTTTACTATTAAAGGCTCCACTCCATCCTGAGGCTCCCAACAAAAAGGGTGCAAAGCTTTTAATTAATTTAAATTAATTATTTCCAGTGTCTGTGCCCAGTTTACATTGGCATAACTAGGCCAACAGGATATTATCCATAGAATCATAGATCCAATGCTTGTGCCAGGAGTCCTGATATCATCAACTGATCTGGTGGCCATTTTACTATTAAAGGCTCCACTCCATCCTGAGGCTCCCAACAAAAAGGGTGCAAAGCTTTTAATTAATTTAAATTAATTATTTCCAGTGTCTGTGCCCAGTTTACATTGGCATAACTAGGCCAACAGGATATTATCCATAGAATCATAGATCCAATGCTTGAATGGACTTGAGTGTCACAGAATCCAACTCCCACCCCATGCAGAAACCCTCTGCTAATGTAGGATTCAGAATTGATCTACAAGGTATTGTATTATAATCAATCATTCTACAATGCTTATGACTTCAACTCAAGTGTGGGAGATGGTCCACCCATCACTAACATGTGATGTACACATATACACATTTCTGTGTTCTAAATGTGCTAATACACGGAATTTCATTTGGTTTACAAGACGCACAACAGTATGAGCTCACATATTCACAAAGAAAATTACAGGCTATTCTGTTTAGGTAATCCTCCTTTTTTCCATATAAACTATGTGCCCAACATAGAGCCTAACAGGCAGCAGGACTGTGGAATTTTCTGCTTTGTTGCCCGACATGTGAAGGAAAAAAGATTTGATTTTGCTTCTTCACACCGTAAAGCAAAATCATGGTTTGTCACAATGTAAACAGGGCCTTATTCTGGTCAGTGCTCAGATGGGAGAGCCCCATGTAAATACTTTGGAGCTTCCTGGGGAAAAAAAATCATGGCATTCTAATGAATTATTTCCAAACCACTTTTCTTCCTCTCTGGTAAAGATAAACTGGACTGCGCTGCTTACCACAGTGTTGCCTTCAATTCCAGCTAGTTTGAATGGAGTAATGCCCTCGTGGTTTGGGATTGAGTCAAGAGGTTTCAGGCCTCCTTCTTGTTTGTCATAGGACAGCAGCAAACTGTACATCTGGCATGCAATTGCCCTGTTAGGTTGAAGGACCAGGATGTGAAGAACAGTGTTGCCTGGAGAGGAAACAGTTTATTTATTTATTTCAGCTTCTATATTGTCCCATACTGCACACACTCTCTGTGTGCTTCACAACAGGATAAATCACACATAACGAATGATACGAAATATCACAGAATAAATATCATAAAATAGATAAACCCCCATCTTTGAACAGAATTAAACAAATTAAAGCAGATTTGAACATTTCAGGCAGTAAAAGCACTAATAAAAGGCAGCTTTAAATAATACTGTTTTTATTAATTTCTTTGAATGAGAGGGAAAGTGCCCGATGAACCTCCGTTGGAAGCTTGAGTTCCTAATGTTACATAATTTTTCCTAATGTTTTGGCCTCCTTCAGTGTCACCATTTTTAATATCATGGACTGTGAGGAGTGGGCGGGATGAGTAGCTGTTTTGTGGGAGATACATTTTGAAAAGATTGAGGTCCTACCTAAACCATAGTCTAGGAACCACACTTAGTGAACTGCAGAATTGAAAGGTAGCAGCTCATAAATAATACTTATTGAGCCAGTATCAGGTTAGTTGGCAGTTTTCTAGTAGCAAAAGCTTCCCTTGATTACATCATTGTAAAAGCAAAGGAGCAGATTTCAAATGGTGAAGCTGAGTGTTAATGAACCCTTCTTCTTTCCTTTTTAAAGATTATTCTGACTATGGTTTGTCACCAGAATGAAATGGTAGAATCTTTTTATTATTAACATATTTGAAATTATAATAAATATTTGATTCAAAAAGATAATTATACTGGGGACTAATAACCTGTAGATGTATATAAATGTCTTTTTTGTTGTTTAGTTGTTAAGTCATGTCCGACTCTTCGTGACCCCATGGACCAGAGCACACCAGGCCCTCCTGTCTTCCACTGCCTCCCGGAGTTGGGTTAAATTCATGTTGGTAAATGTCTTAGCTAGATGATATCCAGGTAGCTAAGAGTGTTAGGATTGTCTTCTAACAGCATTTTATCAGTTCTTGTCTGATATCAGCACTTGTTATCAGACAAGAGATGGCACAGGTACCATTTGTCCTGCTGACGGCAGGATTGCAAAAGATGTTTTATAATTGCATGCTCTGTGCTAAACATCCTCACTGCCTTCTACTGAAAATAATCCAGGAAAAAATGTTGCTACATGTTATCAAAAAGAGAATCGTTAAATGAATTAATTGCAATTTCTTCATTCCATTTCATTGGTTAGATTTATATGTTGCTTCCCAACCTTGAAGAAGACTGGAAGAAAATCACAACTGACTTTCCTTCTGGCTACAGGCCTCATACCTAAGGAATCTTGTGCTCTGATGTCAGCTCCATTTTCAATCAACAGACGAACAATTTCCTCACTTCCTGTGCAGGCCGCAAAGGACAGAACATGTTCTCCTGAGGAGGAATGCCATAAATTAAAACAAGTCTCAAACATAAGGAGACAACAAAGGCAAGGGGACTTCTCAGAGGGAACTTTCCACTTGAAGGGGCCACAGATGGAAATATTTTCTATTCCATTTTCCTATTCAGCTGTTTGTGTTGTATCCTTCTTTGACAGGGAACCCTGAAACGTGAGAAGAGCTCCTAAAAGGGCTGGGACCAAAATAAAATGTTGAGAATGGCTGAGTTAAACTAAACAATGGCTGAAATCCTGTTACGTAGCTCTGTGTGCACAACAGTGATGAGGTAATCAGGAATAACAAGTAGCTGCTGATGAAAGCTTCCCTTGGGAAATTTGGGATGTGAACGACTTTGCAACATTGTGTTGATTAAAGACCATCTTTAATCAGCTGTTTTTCACTGCTGGTAGTGGTCATCTCTCTCATGCATCCAGAGTTGTGCAACAGTATTTCATCTCACATTTTAAGACAGTTTATTTATGTACTTGCCAGATTTAAGAATATGCTTCTGAATAATCACACAGCAGACTTTAAAAACTTTTCTTTATTCTCTAATACATGTTATTGTGTGTTTTCAAGTCGGAATCTCACTCAAATTGCCTCTAATGCAGCTTTCAAAGTAGGTGAAATATTTAAGGATCAGTTTTGCCAATTCCACACACCCCATTGAGCTTCAATGGCTGTCTGAGGATCTGAACCGAGGCCTCCTGATTTGACCAAGCTCTGTTTCAGTCTTACGTCATATTTACATTAGGCGCTCTTGAGCTCAATGGAATTATTAACACAAATTGAAGTTGTTCTGTTCTAAGTTTAACCAAGTCTGATCTAATAAAATACTGTATATATTCAGAATTAATTAGTTAATTTTCTAAGGAAAGATTTAGTTATTTAGCCTATGAGCAACATGCAAAAAGAAATGTTATCCACCAAAGAGAGAGTTTGGAGATGGCCGACACTTTTTTTTAAAGGGACTAGCAACTTCTGATGGGTTAACCATCCTGTACCAGTTGCTAGGCAGTCAGGACTGCATATCCATCAAAGCAAAAGCACTTGTACACACACACGCATACATACACACACACACACACACAGAGAGAGAGAGAGAGAGAGAGAGAGAGAGATGCACACAAAAACATGAAAATCTGCCTATCAGTGAGGTGGAGGTGGGGAGGCTGTAGCCTCCTTCCTCCATCCCAGCAATACATAGTAATGTCACTAGTGTGTTGGTGAGGTTCAAACTTTCTCCCAATAACACAACTAAAAACCTGTAGAGTGAGAAGTAAACTTTCACCTACACTCTTCTTTCTAGTAACAGTACTCCAACATTGCAGGGAAGAGGGGAGATTAAAGCTTCCTCTTCATCCCAGTAAATTCCAGTAGCAGTTTTGCTGCAAACCTGCTCCCATCTCACATTGCTGAAATGGGGAGAAAGTTAAAGCTATCCTCCAGCACAGTGATGCTGCTGAAGACCAACGTCACGGGGAAGGAGCTTTCTTTTTTACCCCATCCAAGCAATACTGTGTACTGTTGCTAAGATGGGGAAAAAATTAAAGTACCCTCCAGAGGACAGGACTCTGACTGGGAGAGAAGGCAAAGTTTTATGATGTATTTGCAGCAAAGTCTCCTGTTCACGCAGTCTGTTTCCCTGGATCGATAGTTGCCTGGGTACCAGTAACTCTATAGAGCAGGAGCGAGTCAGAGCATCCTTCTGCAACATAGAGCCACTTTCAGAGCTATGCTTTTAGTGCTGGGGGGAGGGCACCCTCAGGGATTGCATCTGCCTTGTGTATTTTCTGCTCCATTTATGGTCATTTTTTTCAGGATTAAAAATTATTTTTGCTCCACCACAGATTGGCTTTTACAACTCTTGGGTGGAATTTTGTTTATCTGGCTTTTGCTTTACGACAGAATGGGCGGTGCGGCTGTTTCCATCATTCAGTACTTGCTTAGTCATTCAGTACTTGCTTAGATGAATGGGCCATTTGAGATACAGCACCATGGACAGCGCTTTCATATTCCTTCAGACAGAGTGTTCACCAGTGGATTTAATTCATGGATTCAGGTGCTAGTTGTCAAGTGTAAGGAAAACAACTGATGTACAAAGTGGTGGCTCCTTCTCTGGTGGACAAACCAGATTAACCCTATGGAACTGTTAATGAAGGGGAAGGGCCCGGCAACTTTGTTGGAGAGTTCTGCAAGCAAGAGGCACAGGGGCTACCTGCCACGCCACCCTGGACACTTATGATCTTTTCCAGTTTTGGAAGCTAGCCAGGTTTTGCTTGGCTATTACTGGATGGAAGGCCAACAGGGAATCCCTGAGATCTTCCAGGTAGGGCTGGGAAAGAATTGTAGCTAAAATCCTGGAAAGTCATTCCTACTGATCAGAGCTGACAGCACTGAGCTGGATGGACCAGGACTGAGTAAGGCAGCTTCCTATATCTGTATGCTCCCTGTATTTTGCAGGGCTGCTGATATCAGTGTGGTTTTCAGTAGACATTAGCAGTGCTAAACAGAATCTGTGTGTCTTCATGGTGCTGAATTAGCAGGCTTTGTGGTAATGAATGCAGCAGTGCTTCATTGCTGTGGCTGGTGGTTCATTAGCAAACTGCAGTCCCAGCTGCCACTGGATAAGCAGACTGGTGCAAATGTCACTAAGAGGAAGCTTAGGATGAACTATAATAATGGCACGAGTGTTGTGCTACCCTTGGTGCATGCACACGAGCGTGAGCGTGCCTTCACAAGTGCTGCACTGCCCTTTGTGCATGCGCATGTGTGCGAGTACATGCACGTGCACAAGAGTGTGCATGCTCCTTTGCACATGCACATGAGTGCATGGGGTGCCCCGCCTTCTGCAGCTGGTCCGCGGGGCTAAAAAGGTTGGGGACTGCTGCTATAGAGCTACTGATGTGATCATACCAAAGTAGAAGAGTCTTTGGGTGTTGCGCCTGAAGAAGAGTCCCGTCGCCCGGGGCGTGCAGATGTGAGCTCCTTTCTTGAGCAGGCATTTCACTAGGTTTACATTTTGATTCACTGCTGCAATGTGAAGTGCTGTTTGTCCTGCAGTTCACATTTAAAAACAAACAAACAAACAAACAAACACAGTTTTGGAAGCTAGCCAGGTTTTGCTTGGCTATTACTGGATGGAAGGCCACCAGGGAATCCCTGAGATCTTCCAGGTAGGGCTGGGAAAGAATTGTAGCTAAAATCCTGGAAAGTCATTCCTACTGATCAGAGCTGACAGCACTGAGCTGGATGGACCAGGACTGAGTAAGGCAGCTTCCTATATCTGTATGCTCCCTGTATTTTGCAGGGCTGCTGATATCAGTGTGGTTTTCAGTAGACATTAGCAGTGCTAAACAGAATCTGTGTGTCTTCATGGTGCTGAATTAGCAGGCTTTGTGGTAATGAATGCAGCAGTGCTTCATTGCTGTGGCTGGTGGTTCATTAGCAAACTGCAGTCCAAGCTGCCACTGGATAAGCAGACTGGTGCAAATGTCACTAAGAGGAAGCTTAGGATGAACTATAATAATGGCACGAGTGTTGTGCTACCCTTGGTGCATGCACACGAGCGTGAGTGTGCCTTCACAAGTGCTGCACTGCCCTTTGTGCATGCGCATGTGTGCGAGTACATGCACGTGCACAAGAGTGTGCATGCTCCTTTGCACATGCACATGAGTGCACGGGGTGCCCCGCCTTCTGCAGCTGGTCCGTGGGGCTAAAAAGGTTGGGGGACTGCTGCTATAGAGCTACCGATGTGATCATACCAAAGTAGAAGAGTCTTTGGGTGTTGCGCCTGAAGAAGAGTCCCGTCGCCCGGGGCGTGCAGATGTGAGCTCCTTTCTTGAGCAGGCATTTCACTAGGTTTACATTTTGATTCACTGCTGCAATGTGAAGTGCTGTTTGTCCTGCAGTTCACATTTAAAAACAAACAAACAAACAAACAAACAGCCTTAATACCACATAAGGACATTCTCTACACCCAGTTTTGGGTAGGTTGCATTATAAAAGGACAGAAGGTTTAGGGGGAAAGGCTTACACAGGGGGGAAAGGGTTTGAACAGGAAAGTGTATAAAAGTCGTGTTTTACAAATTTTCCTTAATAATAAGAAAAAGCAAATTAAAACAAAGCCTTTCTGTGAAACAAAGGTCAAGCCTCAGGATCAAGCTAGATATGACGTCAACCACATTTCTGAATTTCACAAGTGCACTCCCTCGCTTCTTTGTTCTAATTGTAGGGTCTTAATATGGATTGGGAAGGTAATGCATTGCATATTAAATTTTTAAAGCCATTTCTCCTGTACCTCATTTCATTGAAAAATCTCCTCTCAATTATTGTTTGCACCTTCCCCACACAACTGCTATTGGACAACAGATAGCAGCCTCTATGAAGATTTTAAGTGGGAAGATGGATGCAGAAGGAAATGCTTTAGAAACCCCTCTCCCAGACCTTGCAATTCCAATCCAGATTAGCATCTCCATGTCTGGAATTTGGGTGGAGAGACAGGAATTCCATTCATGGGTTTCAAAGCTATTTCTTACACCATATCTAATCTGATTCTCAGGCCTGTCATTGCCCACTGATGTATGACATAAAGAATCCCAATATCTCTTATAACAAAGTATGGCATATCCATATTACAGAATTAAAGTGGGTGAACATTATTTGTAGCTTAATTCATTTGCAGAGCTGCAGTTATTATTTTATATAGCTTAACCATTACTCTACCGATGTTATGATGAAGCAGGAAGTCATTTCTCTGGAAGTCTCAATATTACCAAATTCTAGGCCAAAAAAGAGAAAGGGAATGCTGGGAATATGTAGCCATGTTTCTTTGTTTTTAATATTATAAGGTCCAAGGCAAGAGTGGGGTGAGATAGGGATAAATGTCCCCCCTCCACAATTTTCTCACTTCTGAAATCACTCCACCTCTGTTTTCTGACCATGCCAGAGAAAATGTGTGTGTATTTGTATTTAGAATATTGTTTGCCAAATACTGAGAAATTTTTACATGACTCAAGTAGGAAAAGCAACTTGACTGTGTTATTATGTCACAACTAAGTTATGTAAGGCAAAAAATAAGTAAGTAAGGTAGACAGACAGACTACATTTGCTAAGGACTGGTTACTTGCTATCAGTTACTGCAGGAACAAAAGAAGAGATTTCCACTGATTACTCTAAATGTATTTCATGTTTATGGTCTATTTTGCACTATGATATAAGGTCTAAAATACTGCATTCATTACCCTCTACCGTAGGCACTCTAATACCAGACAATGAAAATCTCCTTTTTTAAAAATAGGAATTACCTTCATAGAGTTCTGATGTCATCTTCTCATTGACAAGTTCTGGAGCCACTTCCAGAAGAACCTCAGCAGCGTTGAGGTTGTCATAAAGGGCTGCTATGTGGAGGGCTGTTTCCCCCACAGCACCTACACAGAGTAAGAAAAACACAAGGGCCAACTTTGTACGAATTGCATTTCAGGGTAAGCTAAACTTGTTTGCTTCTTCAGATATCTGTCCAAAGCACATTTACAGTTCTAAGTGGACAAAAGATCTAACTTTTATGTTAAAAAGCAAACAGACATCTAATTTAATGAGTTTATTTTAATAATTTAAAAATTATTAAATCAATGGGGTATTGACTCTTTTGTTAGTAGGGAAGAAGAAGGGTAAGTACCTCTTTGGAAAATATCACAAGAACCATCCATAGTCAATTTCCTGATGGCCTGGACATTATTCTCTTTGGCAGCCAGGAGAAGTGGATACTCCTGGATCCTGCAGACAACAAGAAAGCTGTCAACATTTTGCTCCAGTAAGAAATTAGCTCTTGAGGTTCCAAATTTTTTGTCTAGGTCAACAGCAAGCACTCATCATCATCATCAATCATAAATGCACCTGAGTAAGAAGCATGATCCCTGATATGTTTCCTGAAATGTAGAATCTTATAAAGACCAGAAAAATAAAAAATCCAGTTTGGAATGGAGAGCAGTATCAAACCTTGCAATGTTTTCATCACAGACCACATGGAGGCAGCACATGGACAGAGAAGGAAGATAGAAATTCAGCCGTCTTAACGGTCATTAATCCTTTGTAGCAAACAGCAGTGTGTCCCATAGCACAGAAAATGACTATTTATTGTAGCTTAGTAAGGAAGATGGAAGTATGTTCTTAAAACACACCTAGCCATTATATTCTAAATACCTAATCCGACTTGGCTTCCTAATACGGGATGCAGGAAACAAAGGACAACAATATCCAACGAGGTCAATATGATCCCACACAGCTCAGAGGACTTCACCAGGCACACCTGGAAGCCTAAGGTCCATAAGCCTAGACAACAAGGATAAGAGGTAACTGGCTGTAACTGGCCTTGGGAAGTTCAGCAGAAGAGGCTCAAGGACAGTCAACAAGACTGAGACCTTTAACCCTGTAGAAGGGCTGAGGAGTAGAGGGGAAAAGACCGCGTGTCTGCTAACCCAGAAAAATCAGCAGTTTGTTCCTCTACAAGAAAGAAGCTTGGAGCATGTATGTGTCTGTCTGTGTGTGAAAGAGTGAGCATTGCATAGTACATATGTTCTACAGATGAGCTACATGAAAAACAGACACATTAAGTAGCTTTCATTCCTAGGGCTTTGGCTTCTTGAGGATACTGGAGATGCCTAGGAGTTAATGGTTAATGGTCATTCTGCTTTCTGGATAATAAGTGAATCCACCACAGGCAGATGTTGTCCTGGGCAGTTTTGGAGGCCTGGAGGCCGTGAAGGCATGATATGACCAGATAGAGCTGGTCTTAATCTCCCTCACATCATATAAGATAGCACTTGAGATGTTCAGAGTGATTTGCATAACTTCTTGCATTCTTATAGCAACCCTCCAGCATAATAAGATTATCTCCCTAGTATGAGTTTACAGGGACGTAGGGACGTGGTGGCGCTGCAGGCTAATTCAGAGTGATTTGCATACCTTCTTGCATTCTTATAGCTACCCTCCAGCATAATAAGATTATCCCCCTAGTATGAGTTTACAGTAGCTGGCTCAGGGCCACCTAAGAGGTTCATGGTATTACAGTAGCTTGCTCAGGGCCACCTAAGAGGTTCATGGTAGAAGTCAGATATGGTCTGGTTTGGTCTGACTTGCAACATCCACATGGGTAGAGAGAGTTTCTACTGTCCTTCTTGTAGCTGCTTGTTTCCATAACTTCACTCCCCTGCCCCACAGTTTGTGGTCAAAAAAGGACGAGAAAGATTCTCTACTGAAGGAAACAGTTAGAAAATGCAGACTAAACCCTCCTCTTTTCATATGGGAATCCTAATCTGACCACCATGCACATTCTTGAAAATCGAAAGAAAAACAGGGTTCATCTGCATGTGATATATTTGACATATACTCTATAAATTGTTGATTTATTGAGTTAACAACTGCAGTAGCTCAAATGCTCTCTTCGTAGCTGCTTGTTTCCATAACTTCACTTCACTGTGATATATTTGACATATACTCCATAAGTTGTTGACTTATCAACAACTGCAGTAGCTCAAATGCTCTCTTCAGTTGTACTTATCATTTGTGGGAATCCATGCTAGTTTGGGAATAAGTTCCCTACGTCTTATTATTCTCTAGCCCCCATCTCTTAAATATGGATACAGTTTAGTGAAACTTTTATACCCAGGATCTAGCATGCCAGTAAATGAAGTGTTCTCCATCAGTTTTACTAGCAATCCAGTTTAAGTGCTTGTAAATAGCTTTCATATACCTGTGCTGCAAAATGCATGGGTACTTTTTTTTGGCTTCATATCTGAATTGCCCTCCAGTCGACCACTGGGGTAGCCTTGTGTAAAATGTGCTTAACAGTTCTCCCAACTAGAGTTCCAAGAATGCAGGTGAACTATGTATTTGGGCAAATGTGCAAAACTGGACTGAATCAGGGTCTGAATGATTCTGGGTCCATGGCGGGGTGGAAGAAGAAGCTGACCTAAATAAGACCAACACCACAACATGCCCTCCATACCATTCGGCATCAATAGGGTTTAAAAGAAGGATAACAATTTGAATTGAGGAAATGGGGAAATGAAAGCAGTATAGTACAGTAGATGGAATAAGGCACTATAGGTGTTCATAGAGACATGCTGGCGCTGTGGGTTAAACCGCAGAAGCCTCTGTGCTGCAAGGTCAGAAGACCAGCAGTTGTAAGATCGCATCCATGTGACGGAATGAGTTCGAAAGCATGCAAATGCAAGTAGACAAATAGGTACCACCATGGTGGGAAGGTAACAGTGTTCTGTGTCTAGTTGTGCTGTCCACATGACCACTGAAACTGTGTATGGACAAAATGCTGGCTCTACGGCTTGGAAACAGGGATGAGCACCGCACTCTAGAGTCGGACACAACTGGACGAAATGTCAAGGGGAACCTTTACCTTTACCTTATAGGTGTTCATAAGCACTTCTCCACTTGGTACCTCAATAAAGGGAACATGGATTGGTGTCAAAGGAGAAGGCAAATGAGAGCTGAACACATCAATAAAGCCCAGATCTTCCAGGGACACACCAACCACTTATATACTAGGAAAGGTTCAAGCTAAGCTCACTGAGCGCTATATATATCGCTTTACAACTGCTCCATTTTTCATAACTGGAAGGCGAAGAGAAAGATTTGCATTTCGGTTTATATTGCTTTATTGCGTTCTGGAATGTTATTTCTCTTTGTTTTTTCAGTCAGATGAGTTTGCTAACTTTACCGAAATATTATTAAATTTTTTTAGGACTGACCATGTGTGTGACTGCGGAAAGATCATCATTGTATAGGCTTTGTAAATCACATGGTTAGGGTCCTACGTAGCTCCCCAGCTGAAGGCCATTTGCATTCCCTCATCATTCCTGGCTTTTTTGTTTTCATGGACACCCAGAATTATGCACATAATATCACAGACCCGAGGACAGAGCAGGTAAGGATGTTTCCCAAAGGACAGAGGGCAGGTAAGCCCCAATCCATATGCCCTTTATTGAGGTACAGAGTGAGTAAGTCCTTACCCACCCACACCTGTAATTTCAAGTAAAGCATGGTTCTTTCCCCACCCATTAGCAAACACAATGCATTTTAAGGCAGATTTCCCAAGCTTCATGCCCTCCAAATCAAGTTCTGTGTTTATCTCTTAATGTGGCTTCTAGAGAGGGGAGTCTCATTTGATCTAAGCCTAGTATATGTAAATATATAATATTCTAATAAATGACACCAGAGGTGGGTAACTTCTAGAGGTCAGAAGATGCACACATGCATACCTTTGGGTTTTTAAGGGTTGCACTCTCCTTGTCCAAGCCTATAATACTTTTCTTTAAAAATGCTTTTTTAAATTGACCCTCCCCCACAATCTTCTCTTGCCCAATTTTTTAAAAAGGGTTTTCTGTTTGTTTGCCTCCCATACCCTCAGGGGGCACAAGAAGGTTTTTTTGAGACAAAATTTTTAAAAAGGGGTGCTGGGGTCATATTTGAGGCTCTGGGGGATGCCCACCCCTATTCCACATCCTATCGAGCTAAAAATGTTGCTTTGGCAGCATATGCCATATTCCAACAGTGTGTGCAGCTGTACTAGCGGATAGCTGGGTGGCTGCCTTGTTCATGGAAAACAGAAACAGTATAGAATTCAGGTATTAAACACAGAAGTCTCCAATTTTGGGGGGGAAATAACACCCAAACCTGCATTTCCAATAATCAGGATAAAAACCATTTACTGGAGAAGAGGAGGGTAATATTAACATTGTTATTGAAAATATTACTCTTAAATATCTTTTCACTGGGATTGTTTTTTTCCCCTTTTCCTTTTCCAAATACAGCTATGAAAACATAATAATGCTAAATGAGTGGATTAGAAGCGGCATGGATTATATGAGGTAGAAATTTAGGATGTATAGCAAGGCATCCGTAATGATTCTCTATATGATTATCAAAGTGAATAGGCAGTGCAGTTCAAACTCAGAGATGGCACCAACAGGGAGTTTGGAATAGTCAAAAGCCTCTTGTGCCAGCATAGCCCTGCTGACAAATCTGAGATCTCAGACCTGCCAGCACAACTGCTCTACTGGATGAGATGAGCTGGCGCAAGAGTCAAAGAAAAGGGTGGAGAAGGCAGTAGAGCAGGGGACAGGCCCCTCAGAGCCACTACGCTGACACAAAGTTAGTTCAGAGTGAGGGTATGTATCTGAAGGAATTTCCAACATCCCTAGAGGCTGGGTGGGGTTTGGTTTCAGCACAGTCTTAGCTAGAGCTCAGTGTTAGCTCAGCCAGCTCCCAGTCATCACGGCCTGTTAGGACTGCACTCTTATACCTGATATCCTAAGGCCAAAGGGCCAGTATTGCCATACATGTTGACGGAACATGACACATTTCTCTAAAGCAACACTTTCACTCAGTGGGATCCAGAATGTTATATCACTGCTGATATTCATACAACAGAGTTGGACTGAATCAGGTTTATTGTGCTTTTCCCCAAGTATGGGGCAAATCTGGAATTAAGTTGCCATGACAAAGAAATATGTCTTCTAATTAAGAGAAATGTGTTCATTTTGAAGCTATGCTTGATGGCATATTATTGGTAGGTTCCCTTCTAAATAAAGGAAGGCTCTCTTCTTCTTTCTGTCACTAGGACTCAGGAGACCAGGGTTCAAATCCTCACTAGCGCATGGAAACTCACTAGAGGCAGAGTGGCAATGGTAAAACTACTCCTTAAATATGTATTCGCGAAGGCTTTCGCAGCCGGGATCTAATGGTTGTTGTGGGTTTTT